AAAAAAAAACAAAAAGAAAAGAAGAGGAATCTCCCCCCCGTTTGTTTTGTTGTTGAGAGAGATAAAGCTTTTTGTTTTTTGCATGGGTATCCTAAGCAACGAATCAAGTGTTTTCTTTCTTTAAGAATACTTGATGAGGAAATTGAAACTTAAATTTGAAAAAATTTAAATTAAGACATTAAAACTTGATTGATTTAATTTGCACGATTGAGAAATCCTTTTTCTCCATTGCATAAAAATGAACTTCAAAATGAATTTCTCTTCTCTTCTGTTCAAATTTCTGAAGTCTGGATAGCAAGGTAGCGCTGATCGGCAAGTCCCTTTGGGATTATCCGATGGAACAGCCAAAAAGCGTCTCCCCTGTTACCGTGAACCTCTCTAATTCCTTTTTGGAGGTGGCCCATGAGTAAATCGTACGTTGGATGAGCGAAACTCTTTTGTTTTCACATGTGGTTAGGTAATATCCAGTGCTCAAGGTTCAAGGGTCCCTTAATAAAATTCTCTATTGGTGTACATAGCCTATTAGAATCCTATCCATTTTAAGGAAACCTGTATGCATCCCGAATGATGCTGAATCATTCCATTAAAAAAGGGGTGGGATATGTTTGTGAATGTGTGCGCATTCACGCATTCATATCGCCATATTTCAAAAAAAAATCCATTTCAAAGTGAAAATCACTTTTGGTCCCCGAGAGCCTAGAAAATTAACATTTTTGGTCCTTAGACCTGAAAAATTCTCAATTTGGCCCCAATAGCGCCTAAAAATTCCTAATTTGGCCCCAAAGGCCCAAAAATTTCAGTATTTGGCCTCTAAGGCCCTAAAAATTCTCGAATTTGGCCACAAGAGGCCCAAAATCCCCGTTTTGGCCCCAAAGGCCCAAAACTTTTCAATTCGGCTCGCCAAAGGCCAAACATTGCCCCATTTGGCCAAGGCCCTAAAAAAAAATTCACAAATCACTTGGCCCTAAGGCCCGAAAATTCCAATTTGGCGCGCCGAAGGCCCAAGAATTCCCAATTTGCCACGAAGGCCCAAAAAATTCACATTTTGGACACTAAGGCCGAAAAAAAATTTTTTTTCTTTGAGAACTTAGGGACTTTCGAAAAGTCGAGGTGTCCAGTCCTAAGCACTCTAGCTTTACATATCACATCCGCGAATTGGGTCCTATCCTAGGTGTCCTACAATACCATATATTACTCTACACTATCTCACATACCTAAAATGAAAACCCTTGTATAGGGATATGTCTAAAATCGTTTTTGACTATGTCCTTTCAACAGGTACTCCTCCAAAGACCACCTGCACCCGAACGGCCACGAGCTCTCACGCCAAAGACCAATTTCACCAACCACCAATGGCATCAACTCAAACCGACATCCAAAATCTCATTGAAGCAACTTGGAAGCCCAGAATGGAGGAATAGAAAGTGAATGAAAAGGCATTGGCTGCCCAAAGAATTGCCCTATTAAGCTGAACTAGGTCGGTAGTATGGAAATGGGGCTCCAGTTGGGGGAAATGGTAATGCTACCTCCAATCCAAGGACCTGGTGCTGACCCGACAAAGCCCTACCCTTAACTGGATGAACAATGCCCTCAAAACTGCTTCTGAGCTGGGAAAGCTCAGAAATGAGAGAGAAGCGGAATTTGTTTGGAAAGAAGATCTATTAACTACCCTGTAAGACAACACAAGGAAGTGGTGGACAATGGACTCCTTGTCCTTGTTCCCCGAAGTGAAGACTGCTACAAATTCAAAATGCCCAACATCGGATGAAGTTTGACGGAACCCACTTGTCCCAAAACTCATCTGAAAATTGTATGTGGGTTGCCCTAAAACCCGTTTTGGCCTGACAGCGAGCTCCTTGCTCAGTTTGTTTCAGGCAGATCTTTGACTGGTGCTGCATTAAAGATGGTTTGTAAGCTTGGATCCGTTCCAAAATGAAGAATGGGAGGACAATATGCAGATGCTTTCAACCACGCAAGTACCATTAATATAATAACGAAGGGATGTTACCCGGAGGGAGCCTGGAAACCACTAAAACATAAAGCACAATGAGCCCTTCTCCTCGTTCCTTTCGAGGTGAGAGCCAAAGCTGCTCAAATGATCAATCGACCCTCTGAACAGGAAACAAGTTGAATAATAATCAAAGTAATTTACTGGCTGTCTAACCAGTCACAGCTTCAAACACAGTACTTGCCTACGTTTCCAAATCGCATCATATCGCGACTGCAACTAAGTGAAGACTTAATCCAGTTGGGTCAACTCAGAGACTCATTAACAAGAAGCAGAAATCATGCGTGGGTCAGTGAGACAAATGAAAATAAGCCAGTATAATCCCCATGAAATCCTTTACGTGTTGGGAAATTTGGGAAGCAATCAGCCAAGGAGGCCAATAATATTGATTCTCGCATGCCCAATCCTTTTGGTATCTCCGAGAAGCAATGAAAGCAAATTTACTTAAAAGCCTTAGAAGCAGAGGCCATTACCAAACCCCGCCCCGGAATTTCAAAGCCAATGAAACTTGTGAGTACCATCAAGGACATGGGCATAAGACCGAATCATGCTGACTTTGAAAAACGTCTAACAAGACCTGGTTGACAAATGGGTCTATCATCCCCAAGACAAAGCTGAATAACAACCAATCCCTTGCCTAACCATGGGATTAAATCAAAAAAAATTGCAAGAAACAAGAATCGTTCGATCCTTTCGAACTTTTCTTAAGAAAATGATGAAGTTTTGACTGAAGAAGGTTGAGATCAAAAACCTCGCAAAAGAACAAAAGAATTGTTCAATGACCAACAACAACATGTCTGATTGATTGAAAGCATCAAGAAAGAAACAAAGTCACTACAGTGTCCGACCTAGTCCATCATGTTGAGTCTATCTTTAGGGCTAGTTTCTTTTTTCTTTTCATTTTTCATTTCCATTCAAAGTTTTCCATTCAATTCAAATTTGTAAATCTTAAAGTGTCTTTTTTGTACAACAAATTTTGTCTTATCAATAAAAAAGGGGAATCAGTTAAACGTTCCAATCAATGTTTATACCTCTATTACTATCTTTTCCTGTGAAAGCACAAAAAAATCAAAAAAATAATGAAAAAACATGATGATAAAAAAAAAGATAATAAAAATTGGCAAAAGAAAAAATGCATCATTCCATCTCGTTACTCATGCATCAATCAAAGCCTGGGGGCATCTTAAGAGCCACCCAATCAAAGGGGAGTTTTGACGGGTAATACATGGAAAAGGATCCAGCAAGGGTACGCTAGACTTCAAGACAGTACCGGACAAAGCCGATTGAAGGGAGTTGAGACAGAATGGTTTCTCCGAACCCAAGGATGGAAAGATGCTCCGATAGGAGAGGTTTGGTTGATTTTGAGCTTAAAGCAACGAGAATAAAGAAGTTATGGCTTAGAAATTGGGTTGGGTCCTGCAGAACGAAGTCGCGCAATGCTATCCATACACTACTCAAGTCATCTCAGAATCAAGTTGCCGTCGAAATTCTTTATGGAGAGGCCTTGCTCTAAGTAAAAAAAAAAAAAAAAGGGTCAAAAGGAACCTCTGCACAAAAGAAAGAAATCAGGATAAAGTTACAGGAAATCAAGTTGTCCAAACGGGTCAACTGGCAAGCTCTCCGTTAAATTCAAAGCCATCAAAGGGGTAGATGAACAAAATCATTTTCAGCCATAAGGGACAAAGACCAAGCGGCTGCTCACATTTTTAAAAAAGCAAGTGAAAAGAAAGCAGTCAATTTCCAACAAATTAGATGAACAACAAAACACCTTAAAATCAAGCGCCAAGCATGGCACAAATTACAAAATGTCCTTATAAAAACAAGGATCATTTCTCAAAAACAAGGAAAAGGAAGCGTCTCCTCAAAATTCCTTAATGGAAGAGGAAGAACCATTGAAGGAAACAAGTTTTTCAAATTCAGAGGAAGATGAAAGTTCCAAGAAAATGAATTCGAATTTAACCTCAAGAATTCAAACATGGCGAAGCCATAAACTAAAAGCATAAAAGCTTCCTTCAACACTCAAGCCACTAAAAGTTACCACCAACAAATGTGGGGTATTCAAAACTCTTTGTGATGAAGTACAAGTCCATATTTCAGTCAACCAGTGGTAAAACCACTACAACAACTAAAGTCAATTCGCCTAAGAGTCCAATAAGTTAAAAATTCAAACATCCAGCCGGGAAGGATCCCGCAAAGACATCAAAGCCGGGAGGAATCCGCAAAGAAACCAAGTCAGAAATGAATTCTGGCATCAAACATCAAAGCCGGGAATTGATCCCCGTAAAGGACATCACAGCGGGAGGAATCCCGCAAAAGAAATCAACCAGGAAGGAATCCGCAAAGACATCAAGCCGGGAAGGTAATCCCGCGATGACATCAAAAGCCCAGCAAAAATGAATTCTGGCATCAACAGATCAAGTCGGCCATTGAATCTCCGTAAAGACATCAAAGGCCGGGAAGGAATCCTTGCGAAAGAAATCAAACAAAAATGAATTCCTGCGATCAAACAAATAGCCGGGAAGGACTCCCGCAAAGACATCAAGCCGGGAAGGAATCCGAAGAAAAATCCCAAAAATCGGAAATGAATTCACAATCAGCATTAAGTCAGAATTGAATTTTGGCCCCAACAGCAAGTCATTCCGCACCAAAAGTCGGAAATAAATTCCGCACCAACGACGGAAAGGAATTCGCACTAACTCAGTCGGAGAATGAATTCCGCACCAGCCGAGGCATAGAAGTTCGCATTCCCCAGAAGGGAAACTACGAGACCTGATTACTCCCCATCCCCCGAAGAGTTATTTGGAGATACGTAGGCAGCCACAAAGGTGCGTCAACAAACATAAGTTTTGCATCATGAAACAGCGTTTTCTCTTTGCCAATATATAAAAAATATATAAAAATATATATATATATATATATAATTATATAAAAAAAAGAAAAGCGAAGAAAAAAAAATAAAAGCTGGGTTTGAAAAACCCGAAAGGGCGGCTTCAAGGCAAGAATGGAGCCCGTAGGCTGAAAACGTCCGAAAGGGCGGTTCTAGGCAAAAGATTAGGGCAAAGAGCCTGCTAGAGTGAAAACCCCGAAAGGGTGGCTACTAGGTAAAAAAAAAAAAAAAAAAAAAAAAAAAAAAAAACAAAACAAACAAACAACAAAACAAAACAAAAGTGCTTTCATGAATTCCTATTAAGAGAGTTCCAATTTTGTGGATGAAACACTAAGTTCCTTCGAGTCAAAATTCACTAACAAGAAAAATTTGAGTCCTCTAAAATAAGTCTCCCATACCAAGTGGTATTCCACAAGGAGTAACAAAAAAAATTGAGTCATTTCTCAAAAAGTTCATTTGAAAGCGTCACTCTTTGAGTCATGTCCTCGGAAAAAAAAAAAAAAAAAAAAAAAAAAAAAAGAGGAAAATGTCAATCCCCGGGGTTTCCAAAAACAAACCTAAAAAATGTCAAAACATAATCGTTGAGGAGGTTAATTCCTTAATACCCTCGTCTCCAACTCGGACGCATCGTTTCTTCGATCCTTTCAGACGAGCGAGATGTCATCAACAATTGTCCCTGTTTCCTCGAAGTCATTAAAGTGAATTTGTTCTCTTGATTCCTCAAATCGATTGGACAAGTACATACAACAATGTTTTGAAGTATTCCATGTCATAGCACCATTCTGGGGGCAAGAAGTGATAGAACCTTCAACCTTCCATCACAGAAGTAATCACGGAATTTCCCTAGTCTTTCATTAAGAAGAAATTCTATTTCAGTCTAAAAGGCATCAAACAGGGGGCGAAATTCCTCCCAGGTCGGATCAGGGGCAAGTGTTAAATACACAACCAAGGGTGAACCCAACTATCGTCGACCTCTTTTTACATAAAACTAGGGTGAAAACCCTAACCAATAGCCAACCATTTTCATCAAAAACCAAAAGCACATTTGGATCATTTCGAATTTAGGTGGAACCCTTGGGTTTCTCAAAGAAAAAAAAAACACAAAAAATAAAACAAAATCTCTTTTCGAGCCCCCTCTAAGAGGCCAAACATCTTTTCAAGTCCTCTGAAGAGGCAAAATTTCTTTTTAACTCCTCAAAGAGGCTAAAACATTTAAGTTGCATAATAAATTCCATGCATTTGAATCATTTCATTTGGAGACGGCAAGGTTTCCATTTTCTGCCCATGCCTCAAAATTTTGCTCCATCAAAGACAACCACTGGCTCTCATAAATCATTTTTATGAATATGCTAGTGGGGGAAACTGTGATACTCAATTTTTGAGGCTTCTCAATAGTGTTGGTGGCATGTGAAACTCTTTTAAAATGGAGGAAAACACGCTGCTAGACAGTGCCATGCCAATTAGTTTGGACTTCTACAGTAACTTTGACTTTGCTGGCACAAGCAAACTGTGCAAACAGTCCCGGCCGGACCGGAGGGCATTTTGGAGACATTTACTGGAAATATGTCAATATGGTACTTGAAAACGTCCGGATTCACGAGGATCGCAAGAACCGGTCCCCGATATGATTTTTGGAGGTCGGAAACTCCAAAAAGGCTCCCGGAAAGCGAGACATGGTGGCCCTCACCCCGCTAGGCGGCTCGCGGCCAGCGCGTGACAGGCGGCAGCTGCCGCACGCCTGGGCGGCAGCAGCCGCCAACATTAGCGCACCTGCCGGCCATCCACCCGACTGGGCGGCAACCTTGCCGCCCTCCTCCGGCGGCACCCTGCTGCCTCAGCATGGGCGGCACCGTGCCGCCGGCCACCGACTGGGCGGCACCTGCCGCCCCCACTCCAAGGCGGCACCCTGCAGCCCAGCCTCTTGGGCGGCAGCTGCCGCCTGAAGCCAAGGCGGCACCTGCCGCCCCTGGACCCGAAAATGGCCTATAAATAGAACCATTTATCAGCCTATTTTGGCACCCCTGTCTGTGTTGACGGACCGAATCCTTCTCCAGCTCTCACAGCCCTTGCGTTTCTTTACACTTTTTTTTCATTTAATTTTAATTTTTTATTGCTTTTTTAATTGTGATGTTTGAACCACCTAAAAAATTGAACAAATTAAAATTAATTAATTCCCAAGCAAGAAGCTTTTAAATCTGGAATTAAGAAGTGGTCGCCGATTAAATCCAGGTACGCAATAAAAACTTCCTGCCTATTAATTATAGTACTTCATCGCATATTTCTCTTTCTACTCTCAATAATTTATAACTGCAAATAAATGCAGTTCATTTTATCATTTTTGGCAAATTAAAATGCTTTAATAAAAACATGATTAAGTTTAAACTGGCCCGGTTAATTAATAACCCGTGGTAGTTAAAGCTTAAATTCCGACAATATTGGTTAAAGAAGCCTAAGTTAATTAATAACTATGGTTCGATTGCCTTTATTTTCGAACAATCTCTGCCTAAAAAGTCCAATTAATCAATAATTGTGCGCTAACGCCATCATTTAATCACATTTTTGGCACAAAATTGCTACATTTAATCAAATCAATTTTTGGGCAATTAATTGCCTACGGTCTAATCGATTTTTAGCAACGAGATTTGCTTATAAATGAGATTAACCAGTTTTTTAGCGACAAATCGCTTTAAAATCAATCTTTTTGGCAAAGCCTTTAAAATCACCATTTTCGGCTTTCAAAGCCGTAAAATCCGACATTATTTGGCAAATGGCCTTAAAATGAACCATTTTCCGGCCAGGCCTAAAACAAACCATTTTATGCGACAAATCGCTAAATCGAACATTTTGGTAATTAATTGCCTAAATCAACTCATTTTGGCCCAAAGGCCTTAAAAATCAATCATTTTTGGCGACAAGTTACGGCCTAATTACACATTTTAAGCAAACGAATTGCTTAAATCAACACTTTTTGGCCAAAGGCCTTAAAATCCAATCAAATTTTGGCGACAATCCGCCCAATCACATGCATTGGCCAACAGAATTGCCTAATCAACCAATTTTGGCTTAAGAGCCTTAAAATCAACACTTTGGCGATCAAATCGCCGAAACCGTTTTTGGCACAAATGCCTTAAAAACCAACACATTTTGGCAATGAACGCCTTAATCGATCAAATCGATCTTTTTGGCAATAATGCCTAAACAAAAAATGCAACAAAGCCATACACAAAAATCATGCACAAAGCATACACACTCATGCCAAGCATACACAACTCCATGCATAAAGGCATACCCATGTCAAAGCCCTTCAAAAGAAGGCCTATCGAACTAACATTGACTTTGAATCTTCACATTCAAAACGGAAGTACGTAGGCACATTCGGGATGTCACCGCCGGGTGGCAAGTCGAAATCATCAAATCACATAAACATTCCATTTGGTCGCAATTACATCAATTCACCTTGCAAAAGCACGTCATTCCACGGTTCAGTTCATCAGCATGAAACATATCTCGGGATCCATCTTCGGTTCGCAGACTGTGCCTTAAACATGGGATAATTAAATCCAGTAACTAGTTAATTAAATGGAAGTCACTTAGGGTTTTTCCTAATTTACCTAAAATAATTAAACAAGGTGGCGACCAAACAAGGTGGCGACTCACACACATCACGTGTATTTCTTCTCATTCATCATATGCATCACATGCCTATGTGCTTTTGGGGAAGGGGTTCACACATACTGCTTCCCAATTCAAGCCAGAGACTCTAAAGATGCTAAGCTCCAATCCTTATTTTACAATCTCCGTTGGAGTCAAAACTTAAACGCCTCCCCCCTTATTATAGAGAGTGACTCCAAATCTACAATTGACTTCATCACCTCCTCAGATTTAGCCGGTAAGCCTCGACTGGCCAAACAGATCAAGAATCTAGTCTCGAGATCCAATGTCTCTTTCTGCCATGTCTATCGAGAGGGAAATCAAGCAGCTAATTTCTTGGCTCGTTTCCAGCAGATTGTTCTCAGTTAATTGTAATTTCCCACTTTTTTGCTTCTTTCTTTGGCCTCACTTAACTAAAAGGCATTGTAAAATTCAAGACATTTTGGGATTCTCCATATAATAAGATATAAATAATTTCCCTCCAAAAAAAAGAAAAAAAAAGAAAGAGGGTATAAAAAAAAAAAAAAGAAAGAGGGTATAAAAAAAATGAAAAAATAATGTCTTTTTAGTGTGTTTCAATAGATTTTATCAAGAGTTTTATTTAATTTTTATGTTTATTTGTTTTTCTATTTATTTTAGTTGATTTTAATGCTTTTATAGCTATTTTTAGTGGTTATGGAGTCTTGGATGAAAATTGATGCAACTTGGAAGAAAAAGAGCTTGAGGTACAGAGATTTTCACAACTCAGTTGTGAAAAGTAGAAATGACTATGGAAAAGGCACTAGAAATTCAAAGACCACAACTTGATCGTAGAAAATAAAAAGAGCATTTGGAAGATGGATGGTTACGGAAAAATAACGTGGCTTTTCTTTTGGGAGACTTTTACACTTCTTTTGGGGAGATTATGAGATAAAAAGAGAAAACAGGGTCAGGAATCTGAGAAGGTAGAGAGAAAAAAAAGAGAAGAAAAAAAAAAAGTTTTTTCTTCTTGCTGAAAATTCAATAGACCTCAACTTATTCGTAGAAATAAAAAAAGAAGCATTTGGAAAGATGGAAGGTTAACGGAAAAAATAAGATGGCTTTTTCCTTTTTGGGAGACTTTTACAACTTCTTTTGGGGAGATTATGAGATAAATTTTCTTTTGGGAGACTTTTACACTTCTTTTGGGGAGATTATGAGATAAAGAGAGAAAATGGGGTGAGGAATCTGAGAAGGTAGAGAGAAAAAAAAAAGTTTCTTCTTCATTACTGGTGTGGAGCAAGAAGCCATAAGCAGAGATTGGATTTCAGAATTTGATTTCTAGTTCTATAATTTCTAGATAGAATCATGAATTCTTCTCTTTATTTCTTTTGTTCTTTTGATATAGCTATGAAGTAGTTCTCTTTCTGTATATTTAATTTTTGTAGAATGGCTGACAAGATTATAAATCTTCGTTGGTTCCATGCAGGTGATTTTGTGCAAGATCCTCGGATGAGATATGTTTGTAGCATTGTCACTGGTGAAGAAAATGTTGACTGTGATCAGATTTCTCATGTTGATTAACTAGGAAGAGCTTAAAGAAATGGGGTATGACATAATAAGTCAACTATTTCCTAGAGTGTACATTGTTGGAGAAACTGAGGTATATTCTCTCCTTAGTAATAATTTTGATGTATTCATTGAGTTGGACCATTTATAGAATGGAGGTATATTAGAATTATTCATTGAGCATGTAATTGAGATACTTATGGTTGTTGAGGGAGTATATTTACTGGACATGGGTGGTTAAGGGGCAAATGTGGTAGGGGAAAACCTAGGAGGGGCAAATGTGGGAGATAAAAACCTAGGAGGAGCAAATGAGGAAATAGAAAACCTAGGTGGGGAAAGGGCAAATAAGGAAAGCGAAAACCTAGGTGGGGAAGGGGCAAGTGCAAATGTTGTTAGGGCCAATGTAAATGAAGGGGAAGTTGAGAGTTGCAGTTCTATAGATGAAAATAGGGAAGAGGATAGCTCTGAGGAAGATAGTGACTGTGAGCCTAAAGTTGATAAAGATGATGTTGAAGATGTGGATGCAAAATTAAGTGATGTTAATGAAGAATAAAGGGCTACAAGAGAAACTATTATAAAATATAGAAGAAGATCTAGAGCTAGAGTAGAAGAGGGCATTGAAGACTAGGTGAAGTTGGTTTTGACTTTAGGTTTACTGAAGAAGATAGTCTAAACAGTAGAATCAAAGGGGTAACTGGGGGTGGGAAACCTTATGTAGATTCTTATGATCCTGATTCTAGAGAGGTTACTGATGATGAGGAAGGGAGTGGTGATAATAATAGTTCAAGCCACAAGAAAGAAAGAAAAACTCATTATGACCCAACAACACCTGTTCCATGTTAGGAACTTGGTATGATATTTGAGTCTTTGGACCAATTTAAGAAAGCAATTGCTAAATATAGGGTGGTTAGGGGTGTAGATCTAACTATTAGACCAAATGAGCCACATAGGGTTAGGACTAAATAAAGGCAGGGCCGTCCTTGGTTGCTTTTTGGAAGCAAGGAAAGTAGTACACAAAATTTCATTATAAAGACCTACAACCCATTCCACAGGTGTTTTAAAACTAATATGAACAAATAAGCTAACTCTAGTTTTATTGCTAGACATTGTAAAGATAGGATTTATTCTCAACCTGGTATAAAGATCAAAGAGATACAAGATTTGTGCAAAGAATAACTTAATCATTTCATAGGTAAGATTATTGCTATGAGAGCTAAGATTAAGGCTTTGGGAGCTATTATAAGTAATTATGAGGTGGAATTCGCTAAACTTCATGATTATGCAGATGAAATTAGGAGGTCAAAAATCGAGGATCCACATGCTTTGCAAAGTGCAAAAGGATTGAAGAGGGGTTGCAATCATTTAAAAGATTTTATATGTGTTTGCATGCTTACAAACAAGGTTTCCTTGAATGATGTAGGCCAATATTTGGTCTAAATGGTTCTTTCATTATAGCACCATATGGTGGCCAATTACCAATGGCTATCTCCAAAGATGGAAACAATCAAAGTTTTCCTATATTATGAGCTTTAATGGATGTGGAAAATAAAAAAAAATTGGTTATGATTCATATTTACTTTGAAACAGGACCTTGGTATCACCACTGGTTTGGTTGGACAGTGATGATAGATATGCAAAAGGTAATGTTTAGCTATTTCAATTCTATTTTCATTTTTTTCTTTTTCCATCTAAATATTTTGTTTGCACTTGTAATGTTATTTTCTTGCCTTGTATTGTTAGGGACCAGACAAAGCAATTGGACAGGAGTTGCTAAAGGTAGAGCACAAAATGTGTGCTAGACATATATGTAGTACTTAAAATAAGAAATGGAAGGGTGAGAAGAGAAGAAGAAAGTTTTGGGAGGAAGTAAGAGCTCCCTTTGAAATGATGTTGAAAGACAAATTGAAAGACATGAGTGAACTAGGAGAACAACAAGTTGTGGATGACTTGTTATATTACAATCATAACACTTGGTGTAGGGCTTTTTTCAGCAAACAATATGAGTGTGATATTATGGAGAATAATATATGTGAAACACTCAATGGTCGAATCCTTAGTGCTAGGCTGAAGTCTACTATAACTATGATGGAGGAAATTAGAGTATGAGTCATGGAAAGAATGAAAGTAACGAGGGAGTTTGCAAGTATATAGATATGTGATATATCCCCTAAGGTTACGGAGAAACTGGAGATACATAAGTTGCTTTCAATACATTGCCATCCTAGATGGAATGGGGATAGTGGATTCAAGATTGTGGAAGGAGAGTACGAACACACAATTTGTTTGAGAAAGATGCTTTGTACTTGTAGGTCATTGGAATTGAAAAGAATCCCATGTCAGCATGCCATTTGTGCCATGTTTCACAGGAAATTGGATCCTGAAATTATGTTGCTATTTTGTATAGAAAGGAGTAATACTTAAAAGCTTATAAGTATAGGATACAACATGTTAGAGGCATGAAGCTATGGCCTGAGTCAACAAACCCTGTTATATTACCCCTAAAACCCAAAAAGGAAAAACCTAGTGGAAATAAGATAGTTAGGAGAAGGAATAAAGATGATTCAAGGAAAAAGATTAGG